TATTCCACCAGGGTGCCTAAATTTTACTCTAGGATTAATTACACCTATGATCTTCCCGTACGAAGACTAAGCAATCGACTCATGCAATTGTTACAGACAGAAGTGCGGTTTACGAATCACCTTATTTTTAAAATTCGGTGCTTAAAAATGTAATTACTACGAAATATCGTTGTATTCACAACCGTGTTTTGACAAACAAGGTGAAAACAGCAGCAGGAGACCGGCTTAGTAGACTCTACCTAAGAGAAGAACTTCAGAGAATTATCGAAAAACCAAGTTCCATCAGGCACGAGACTGAACAACTAAAATTCGAATTCAATAAGGACTATGAAATCATCATCCTCGAAGTATACCGAAAAAGAGAAGATCACTTGCTTTCAATTAATCTAGAAATACTCAAATTTCAACAAATTAAATGGAATTAAAATATCCTGTTGAGATGAATGAATTCACCAATGAAATAACATCTGCAATAATATCAACCATCGATAAAGCAAAGTGAGTGGTCAATCTCTCAACAGAAGGACTGAGCTTCAAGGAAATGAAATTGCCTGAAATAGGATCTGTCTTTAGTGTAGCCTGATGACTGAAATTATATCGTAGCGTAGTACTCAAATTCTCCTGTTATACTAGCTTTGAACTCCTAGCCAGTAAATACTTGTGACTTAATCTGAATATGTAGCCATGATCGTCTGGCTACAAGGTAAATTTGTTGACCACTTGGTCATCACGTTGGGATTTAATGACATATAGATTATAACTTCTGTCATTTTACAGGATAGATTTCCCGGAGTTCCATTGAGAAGTTATGACCAGTGGGACCCACCATTTCTGTTGTGAACAGAATTATTCGTCAGTAATACTGCATGGCACTGGGTCTATATAAGTAATGGTGAACACTGATTAAACATCCAACGAACTTGTTTATTCGAACCAGTTTCCTGCTTTTTGGAGGCAACAATCCCTTTCGCGGCTTAGACCTTTGCTAGTTGACAGAGGACCGGAGAAATATGATCAGAAGTACCAGTGTGTGCGTTCTAATGAAATTATTTGCAGACTTTTTTAGTGAACTGATAGTATCCAAATGGGAATCACATGATCAGGCTGCTGTTCCATAAACTTGCTATACTGGCTTATACTTGGTGGATCGATAAATCTGTAGTGCACCTTGAACGCTTGAACTTTTGTTTTAACACATGCACGTGAAATGGCGCCATATCTTCTTTGTTCTTCCGGCGTGACTGCTCGCACGTGGCTCACTCCCTCGTTGTGCTATCATTAGGTGCATTCTTCGAGCTCGCTACCCCAGCTAGTTAACAGCTAAGTTGTACACTAATGCTACATATTAATTCTGGTTTTTCGCTTGTCACACAAATATAATTAATATTAGGAAACACAACAGTGCATAAGCCTTGTACTTTGAATTCATTTACCAGTACATACACGGTAGGTAGTGTGCTGATCAGGATTAACCAAGGAAGGCAAGTTTAGCAGGTGCTGACGTTAAGCTCTACCTAGAGGTCGCCCTTAGACACTTACAAATCTTCCACTTACGGTCCGCCTTGTAATACTGCTTTTGTCGAAGTTGAGCTGGTTATTATATACATAATAATAATTATGTATATTTTCATATAAACATAAATTTACATGAAAATGCATGCCATTTTCACAGGCACGACCAAATATGATATAATTTCAAATAGTAGATTGTCTACAAGTTAATAATGTTTGAACAGCTAGATATTTGACTTTTTCTGTTCCTCCAACGTGGATGCTGCTGGAGGTACGAGTAACAGATACAGTTGGAGGCGAAATCCTCTGTTCCCTTAACGCGGCTTTCCTAAACGACTTTCATTTCTATTTATTTGGTGGTGATTTGACACAGGTTGATCGCCGGTTAGAACAGTAGAATAACCGGTAACAGTGTTGATGAAGAGCCCGTCCCGGTAAAGTAGTTTCAGAAGTCTAGCCAGTCTCTCACCCTTCATATTAAAGCGAATTTCAGGTGGAGTGCAGACATTTAGTGGTTGCGCAGGAAGATTGCCCATCACCGAATAAAGATCTACAATTGGTACCAGACTTTTGGCAATAAATGAGAGAATAATCTATGCTTAATTACCCACTTCTCCCCTGATTACCTATATATCTCTTCCCTCTGGCACCGAAGCCTATGAAATCTCTATTATACCGGTGCGTGTTTATGACTTGGAGTTTATAGGACCAATAAAATTTTTCAAAAGTACTTGAAATGAACCTCTGCAGCACTGTACATCATTCCTATAGACCAAACATATCTTGCATATCATGCTGAAGGCTTTACGAGTATCTTATGAAGTAACCGTGGGGACATCTGTCGTGATTAGTCGTAGTAAATTCGCACAACACGAAGAAGGAAGACTTTCAGTGCTTGTAGTCGCACTAAGTCCAGCACAGACGAGAACCTATAACTGATTTGTTAGTCTGAGTAAGAAGTGCACCTCTAGGAAACCGATTAGTTATGCTTCTTGAACCACTTCGAGAGCGCTTCCAGTCGTTTGAGACTAGAAATATCTCTCACAATTGCTGTGTGGTCATAGGTTTGGTAGACCTGAACTCTAGTCACGCTACCCTCTGACTCTTTAATATAATAATATTTATTTGTTCCTGTTTATGCAGGAACATACCAATTGTACAGGCATGGATAAGTTGTTATATAAATTACACATGTTTCGATGTATGTTGAATTTACAGTTTGTTTGTTCTTTCTGACATTAGGGTGAGTCGGAACAGTCTGCAAAATAGTCTGTCTGTGTAGCACAAAAAGATATAGAAATATTGTCTTCGCATTAACAAAAAACCCAGACATCAGATGAATGTAATACAAATATCTGGGAAAAATAAAGCTTGAAGTCAATTCTCCTATATAACTTTGTTGTGAACAGCATCCTTGAGTTAAAGTTTGTTGATGTATTATTTTGAGTCAATAATGTATTTATTCCATTTTTTTGACCAGTCTAATCGTAGTTTTATAATAGGAAAGAAATTTGATCGTTGATACGAAAATTAGATAAGTTCATGTTACATTGTTTTACTGCATCAAATGGGGCCGAGGTCGATTCTAGAACTATCCATCTGCACCATTTGCGTCAGCATGGCAGACTGTACATGTAAGTTGAGTAATACATTGAAAACTGTTTGAAAACCAGTTGCTTCTTTATTTCAGATCAAGAATACTCTTTGTACAGAATGTTGGCCAGCGTTTTCAAGTGGTTGCATCAGATCGTTCATGGAATTTGAGTTTGAATTTACTTAAATGGTCATTTCAGTTTAAATGTTGAGTTGTTCGACCTCGACCAGGAGGTATATAGGAGAGTACGCTCAACGGCAAAGTAGCAGAAAGATAAAGTATGTGAACATGAAGAGAAGATTAATATTTTATGTAGATATAAATGTTTATAAATGGACATCATTGTATAGTAAACACTACCTATAATCTGGCCTGGCCTACCTAATCTGGTGGTCAGACTGTTCTTAACATCACCGCAAGTAGCGAAGGGAGAATATAACTGTCATGGCTGCTCAAAGGTGCACTTATTAGCGATGATCGGGATGGACTATAGAGATGCACATTTTACAGAGTAGTACATACATCAAGTTCTGACTGCCATGTGTTTCAGTCCACACGGATAGGAAAATTGGTTGTTGACAGCTAAACGGCCTTGATTCAGTTGATTTGATCAACTTCTTTGATCCCCTACACATCCGCTGCGTTATTAACCAATATTGCAATGACAACTAGCATTTCACTTTATAACTGAGAGAACCTGGAGAGAATTTGTTGGAGTATTGAAGCTCTCAGTTGTGAAAGTGAGGACAACTAACGTAGTACCTAATGATGACATATAAGGAAAATACTGACAGACTGCTTGTCACTGGAACTGCTAGTTGTACCTTGTATTAAGTTAATTTTGAGTTTTTATATTTCCGAACCAGTTTTTTGAAGATGAATCTCCGAAATGTCTCAGTTACCTGCGTAACGCGACTCGCATATACGTTTATGAACATCATACACGTCACGTTGATGATTTTATTTCGTAATTCTCTAACATTTTTTGGAGATGAGGGATGTTGAGGGTTGCAAAAAATATGCGGTATGCAAATGGATTTACTCTGTTACTCCCAAGATAATTGTCATTCTAGTGTCATAGAAAGATAAAAAAACAAAGTGATCGTCCAAATTACGAGACATATTCCGGGGTCGGCATTGTAGAGACATAACGCTAGATCAACTAGCTGGAATGCGCCCGCGAACTACCGAACGTGACGCAACAGCGTATTTGACCGCGTACATTCAGCTTAACAAACCAACTTAAACAGTGAGGGCCAGCACCCATTGTTGAGTGACGGATGCCCTAGACTAGTAATTCTGGGGGATTATTCACCGCCAAAAGTTTTAAAAGATATATTACCAACAGAAGACGTATTATAGGCTTCTGCAAAAGAACGGGTTAAAAATAACACAAACATGCTTGCGCTTAGCAAAACACATCATGGACCAATAAACTTATTAAATACTCTAAACGGTCGCAGACGGCAAGAATGATTTAAACCATCATGGTCTATTATTAAAACGTAGTAGTTTAGTTTATTCTGACACACTTCTGCCAACTACATCTACTGACTTCTACTTTTCCTGGGGAGACTTTTCTTATTACCTTCTTCATCTCTACACGTATATATGAGCGAAAGGAATACCTCTAACCAATGTGTAACATGAGATTCAAGTACCTAAGAACGGCTTAACTCGCCTGGTCAAGTTACAGAAATTCCCTTGTTGGCTCTAGAAGTCAAGTCAAACGGTAAGAACCAGTATTTTGAATATAAAAGTGAGATTAAATGAACTATGCTTACTTATGCTGACAGAAGAAAATTAGTCTATTGAATACTGTATTCTATTGAACACCTCCTGCCAAACACTTTGGCTGCATCACTTTGATTAGTGTAGTTGGTCAAATTCTGATAAAGGTGTTATTTCAAAAACTGGCGGCAGCTGAACGTTGATTGCTTTCAGTGTATAACTCTTGTGTCTTTCTATTGAGACGGTTATTATTTACAAAGTGTTTCAACGACATCCACGTTCTGCTTTTCATTCATATTTTGTCCCTGTGCTTCCTCGTCACAGTGTTTCTGCATCATGACAGCGAAGTATGACAGAGCAATTACAATATTCTCTCCCGATGGTCATCTTTTCCAAGTAGAATACGCTCAAGAGGCAGTTAGGAAAAGTTCGACTGCAGTAAGTAAATCTCTTGGGTGGTCCTAGTTTTCGTCGTAGATTGGTGTCAGAGGAAAAAACTGTGTTGTATTGTGTGTTGAAAAGAAGGCATCAACTAAGCTACAAAATGACAGAACCGTAAGAAAAATTGCCCTTCTTGATGATCACGTCGCAGTGGCCTTTGCAGGTAATCTGTTGTCTCTACTTTCGATGTTGCAGGGCTCATCGCTGACGCTCGTGTTTTGATAAGTAGGATTAGAGTGGAATGCAAAAGTTACAAATTGACCGTTGAGGATCCAGTTTCTTTGGAATATATTGCAAGATACACGGCTCAGTTAAAGCAAAAATACACTCAGAGTAATGGTCGTCGGCCTTTTGGCGTATCGACTTTAATATGTGGATTCAACCAAGATGGTACACCACATCTATATCAGACCGATCCATCCGGTACTCATGTTGAGTGGCTGGTAAGTCCTAATTATTTTAAGTAACTTGTAGGCTAACGCCATTGGTAAAAATGCAAAAGTAGCACGGGAATTCTTAGAAAAGAACTACACTGAAGATGCTGTATCAGATGAATTTGGAACTGTGAAGCTTGCAGTTAAAGCCCTTATGGAAGTAGTTCAGTCAGATGCTAAACACATGGAGTTAGGCGTAATGAGATGGAAAGCACCGACAAAACCCGGGGATCCTTTTGTTGACTGGCAAGTACGTTACAATTCTTCTTCCAGCTTACATTTATATTTGAAAGTTTACATTTATTATGCGTGAAAGGCTTGTGTCAATGTGTTACTGTTAAGCATATCCTGCTGTATTTTTGTAAACGTCCACTAAATTCTTGCATAGGGTTGTAGCCTTTACATTTTGTAGGGATTTTAGGTGAGTGGACAGGAATTCTTGCTTTAATTAGGATTATCTTATGTTAAAGAACCATTTAACAAAATTACTTAACAAACATTGATTCATTCACAAATTCAGATCACAAAGTAGATTTAAAGTAGCTTTACCTTAGAAGAATTTTAGTAAATAGACCTATTATTCATCGCTACGTAATATTTTGCAGTTCACGCCATGGACAAAACGTAGAATGGAATTCTAGAAACTTGTTATTTTGATTACTGCTTTTCTTCATCCCTCCATTATAGATAAGATAAGTTTTATACTTATATGGTTTTCTTCATGTATAGTACCTGTTGAAATCAAGTGATTAGATACACGGCTTGGAAGCAAGATTGTTTGTTTGCTCGATTGTTTTGTTTTTCTTGAGTATTTTTGGTATGAATATCTGGGAACAGTAAAACTGGTTTACAAAAGTGAATATATGTATTCCTGATTCAATGAATATGTGAAGGTGTTAACTACAAACAATATACTGGTATACTTGGGTTACTGAATGAATACATATGTCTCAGTCACCGTTGGAATGTTCCACTCGAGTTATTTGATGTAACTGACTTGTTAATACTTTTAGAAATAGATATACGTCTGTTTTCAGAATGTGAAATCAAGCGTTCTCACATCAAAAGTGCTAACTGTAGTAATTGATTACTTTGTCAAAGAATTCTATGTGGATTCATTCAATGCAAACAAATAACACCAACTCTGGGGGGACAGGTTATAATTAGGTTGACACCGAGAACTGTAAACGCTTATGTTATCCTATGGCAGACGGTAGTTCCACGATATGTTCCTGTGTAAAGACGAAACTTCAACTTCAAAAGTGGTGTTTGACTTTCATCTAGCAATTGTTCCATACACTTTGTGGTCACACGAAGCAAGGAGGAATCATCTATGGTATGGGAGCCTGGAGGCATCAACTGTCCACACACTTCGATTAGGGTGCAGAATTATTGTCACAATTTACCTTGTTGCTCTACTCGTAATGCTATTATTCAGTCGGGTTACAATCTATCAGTTGTATAATTATTGTTAGTGACTTAAAAACCGAGTCACTTCCTTGTTCACGCTTCTAACTTCCTATATCAGCTTTCAGTGTCCAAATCAGATAACAGGACTCACTCGACGAAACTTTAGAGCGTACAGGATGTGATTACTCACGGAAGTCAAGTAGGGGGAGTTCACAAAATCCACCCTGATTTTTTCAGGAGATAATTTGAACAGTTCGCTGGGAGCAGAAATGTTTCGATTGAGCTGTGTGTTTGTGTTATCATTTCATTTCTGTTAATTTCTCTTTTTTTGCTGTAGCAAATTAGAGCTACTTAAACTGATACTACTGCCTAGTTGGCTTCTATGGCGATTAATGTATGTAAGAATGAGAAGGATAACTGTCTTTTGAAACAAACATCCCTTGAATCTACTGTCATAAACACATTTGAAACACTTACATGAGAATTTCAGGCAACTCCCATCAACTACTTCTGATAGGACACTGATATCCTTTTATTTTAAATTGAATGCTTGGTACCTGTAACACGGGGGGGGGGGGGATAAGACACTAAACTTTACACGTTAAGCTGAGATTCTTAGTACGATTTATACAGTAGTTATCAGGTCATTGTTCTTTTGCTATAACCTTGGTTACTAGTTGTTACAGCTTATAGAAGGCTAAAATTATCACCTTTTTATTACAGAAATCAACTAGACAGTTTCTAAAATCTTTGGAATCTGACAATTTTTGAGTTCTTTTTGTTGTTGTTGTCTGTACGAAAGATTATCTAATGAGGTCAGATAGACTTCAGTCTTAGTCAAGGTTGAGTCATCTCATTGTAAAACTTACTGTTATACTTATATAAGAGTAAAACTTGCCAGCTATTTTAAATATTTATTCATCAAATTATGTATATTTCTATTTCTTTTTTAGATGCTGGATAATACTGATATCCAAAAATATGTTCAAGCCATTGAAAAAGAACGAGAAGAAGAAGCAGAGAAAAAACGTCAGAAGAAAGAAGCAGCCGCAGCGTCATGACTTACAACCGGTAATTAAGAAAAGAAAGCTGTACAGCTGTGATTTTGATATATACACACACATGATGAAAATATATTTGATTTTACTATAATTTACTATAGAATAGCTGTTTTGCTAGCGAAGGTGAGGGTATAGCGTATTCAGTAATCATTATTTTCATCACTAATACCTCCATGGATTATTGACTGGCTGACTGACTGGTTTCAACATAGAACTTTGCACCGATGTGCAGCAGTTCAAGTCACCACACTCCACTCCTTGTAGCACACAAAGCAAGAGGAGATAGTAGGAGAAATGCAAAATAGAGACAGTAAACAGAGATATGAGGCAAAAACAATAGTAATATCGAAAAACAATATAGTTTCATTGGGTATTATAAGTCACAAGGGAAGTGGATGCATCTGCGTTAGCCATTGAGAACGACGACTTTGAGCCATATCACCAACTGTCTCTAGCCATTGGTTTTTACCGTCCCGAGGACCCCGAACAGACAGCACTCTACACCTTCCTACGTGGCCAGCTTAAACTAATTGTTGCGGATTTCATTGACTGATGAAGCCATGCTTTTGTTTGACCCCCACTAGCTTTCTCGTTTCCAACCTGACCCTATGTCAGCGAACATTGCCCATTGTCGAGGAAGGTGATGGCTAGGGATGAATGTGTAGCATCTCCGTCTATGTAACTTCACAGCCTCGTCTATCGATTTCCCTTCCTTCCTTATCTACCACTCCACCGACACCTAACCTCAATATTGCTCACCTTATTATGCCACTTGACACGGGAGATAGAACGCAGATACCTATGATCAAAGTATAAAACTTGGGCACTGCGGTAGAGTATAACTCCATTATGGATAAAATTTTATTTTGATATTGTCACACAGTGTTATACAGTAATATTAAGTGATGACCACGTTTCGAGCACAAACTATTACCACTCATAATCATATCAAGTCACTCACACAACTTTTCCCTTTCATTTATACACATGTGTGGAATTGACTAGATATCCAGTCAATTGTGTGAGTAACTTGATATGATTATGAGCAATAATTTGTGCTCGAAACTTCATCATTAAATATTACTGAATAACAACACTGTGTGACACTATCAAAATAAAATTTTATCCATAATGCAGTCATGCTCTACCACACACTGCCCAAGTTTTATCCTTATATTAACAGGTCGCCTTATTTTGAGTGCTAAGAAAGTGCAGTGAATAGGTCACACACGCCTAATGTCTTCGGATTGATTTGCTGTTGCTACTACTGTAACAACAGAAGGCAAGACACGGAAGCCAAGGTATATTTGGAAGTGATCAAAACGGTGTTTATATGCATTTAGTTTTATATTCTGTAACCAGTCATTGAGCGTGTGATTTTGGTTTACTTGAAACGACATGAAATAGAATGCTCAAATAGGTATATCGTATTCTGTTGCTAATATCGTATTGTCAAGTATTAGTTTTGCAGGGATGTTTTGTCTGATTGGTTGGAGGATTTCATCATGAGCTGACATCAGTTAGAGAACCATTGAAAAACCTGGGAGTACTGGATAGCCATCTGTTTTGTCCTATTTTGGGACTCTTCATCAGTACGCCCCCCACTGGGGTTCAAACCCGGCGGGAAACCCATCTTCACTTCCGACTGGATGCACCTGACTGGTCACGACTTCTCACTAGAACTCCAGGGAACTCCGTCCTGTAGCAAGTCACTAGCGAGCATCAGATTAATTTTCAAGAGTTCATTTCCAAAGATTCGATTTATTTTTCGAGTTGCCGACTATGATATTGGTTGGTGGTCGCTCTGTATCATGAATTGGCAGAATTTAGAATTCATGGGTCATAAGGTCGGGTCCCAGAGGCTTAATGGTCTACCAGCCAGCTCGCCTTGTAACCAGAAGGTCCTGGGTTCGAACCGTGGCGGTGGGTGCGTACTGCTGAATAGTCGCAAACTAGGACGAAACAGATGGCTATCCAGTACTCCCTGCAGGTTTTCCAATGGTTCTTTAACTGATGTCAGCTCATGATATAATCCTCCAGCCAATATCGTATTGAACTGTGGGAATATGTGAGAATAATATTTCCGTTGGAACACATTGTCTGTATCACACCACCACAATACTACTACTACGACGACGACCAATGAAATCCCTGACATCTCTTGAGAATGGTAATATAAACAACCAAATAATTCGTCTCATTCATTTTCTTGATCAAGATCATCGGATTGTATTAATTAGCTATTTTTATCTCATTATTGGGTATACTGTATAATCCATGTATTAATAAAAATCAATATAAATTTAATCCACAATTAGATAATGCCTGAAAATACATCTGAAGTGTCAAGTGCAAGCGATGAATTCCGTAAAGAGAGTATGAACGCTTTCAACATCGTTATTACACGTCTTCATCAACAAAACCCAGATGTATGTATTCAAGAAATGGACAATTTTAGCAAGAGGCTTGACAATCTGTTGTTGTTACAAAATGATTCGGTATGAATTAATAATAATAATGATAATAACAATAGTGGTGAGAACAGGTTACCTAGCTCCTATTGCAAAACATATTATAGAGACAGGATATAAAATTGATGTTTGCACATCTTTTAAACCTCTCTATACAGAACGTGTTTGATGCGTACCGTAAAGTTTGTGGAAGCTCTAGCTGGCAATTAGAAAGTTTAAACCACCTTTATGCGTTCAAAGCAACAATTCTGTATCACGCTAAACCTTACTTGGTAAACTTTATTTTGATACCAGCCAGGGTAGATGTACTATTACCCCTCCCTTCATTGGTTTAGTGATCTTCATCGTTATTTTCACCTTCAATACGCCCTTTTAACTTGACCTGAGTGTCTGTTTACTCATCCCTTAACTCTTCATTATTGTCTACATGTACATATTCCTATGACAAGTCCGTGAGTGTGTGTGTTGTATCAGATTGTTCGAAATGTGTTGCGCAAATATACAGAATACAGGATTCAGACAAATTACGTCTTCTTATTGCTTTGTCTAAATACTATAATACTATTTGCTCATCCCTTGTGTGTTATGCTTCATTCATATCGATTTGTACCTGTTAAGAATGAAAGTTGACTGAATGTATGGGTTTTTAAATAATGATAATAATTTGATGATAATTCCAAAAGAGTACTTAGGATGACACAGTGTGAAATTTTCAGCATTTAGTACAATATACTGCATCTATTTTACTTTGACAACACCAACAACAAAACACATAATATTACACTGTGTACGTAACCAGGATTGACAATGACAGATTCTTTGGTATAAGCAGTGACAATTAAGTGGAAAATGCACAAAAAGAGTAAAAAAAATGATGATTAATAATAATAATAATGTCTATTTTCAACATATGACTTTGCACCGATGTGCAGCAGTTCAAATCGCCACACTCCATGTAGCACACAAAGCAAGAGAAGAAATGCATATTAGAGACAGTAAACAGAGGTGTGAGACAAAGGAATAGTAATATCGGAGAACAATATAGTTTCATTGGGTATTATAAGTAACAAGGAGTGGATGCATCTGTGTTATTCATTGAGAACGATTGTGAGCCATATCACCAATGGGCCCCAGCCATTGGTTTTTGCCGTCCAGAGGACCTCAACCAGTCAGGAAGTCTACATCTTCCTATGGCGATCGATGGCTAGGCATACGTAGCACATGTCCTAACCATCTCAGTCGATGTAGCTTCACAGCCTCGTCGACTGATTTCCTCTCCTTACCTAGCACTCATCGCCTAACCTCAGTATTACTTACCCTACTATACCACTTCACACGGGAGATACAACCCAGGCACCTATGATCAAAGACAACTAGCCAGCCTTTTCATGTCTTCCACTCTCAATGACCAGGTCTCACTCACAGGCATAAAGGAGGACGGAGCGGACTGCTAAGAAGAACACAATTCCTTTGGTCGATAGCCGGATATTAATAGCCAAAATTTTAAGATGATGGTTCGAAATAGTGTCACCGTTGATTACAACTAGGAGAGAATAAACGAGCCGTTTATTTTGTTATTTAACATAGTAAGTCGTAGTAGGTTTTCTCGTCTAACATTATCTTTGTCACAAAAAAAAGCGTGGACGAAATAAGGTGTCGTTGAGTTATTGTACTTGGTTGTACGAGAGCATATCATCTTTTTTAATGACTCTTCTGGTTGTGTCTACCTGATGAGATGCGAGTCAGTCAATATGGATTTAGACCGTTTCTCACATGAGTTCAGGTGTCTGTCGACTAGAGTAGTAACGAGCTGGCTGACAAAGTGGCACACACACTACTCGCCTTACTGACAAGCTTTACTATCCTTCACAATATGATATAGTCCTTTTTGAGGAGCCCAAGAAATACTAAGGCGGAGCAGTTAAATACGATAGGTTGGATGCAAGAGTCAACAAACTGTAAACAGTAGAGGTTGAGTGATACCTACCAGATCGTATGGTAGGTTAGACGAGATGTTTTCTACGAAATCGACAAGATATGAATGACTGAGAAAGGTGAGAGGATAGAAGCATACCAAGGTATTTTATGCTTGACTTACTTTCTATTCCAGTGCCCTCTAAGCTACAAACACCGTATGAACTAACTAATGATTTCGTTGAGATCAGGTTTATGCCTGAAGGTGAAATTAATTGTCGAACATTTAGAAGGATTTAAGGTAAAGCTACTGGCCGATAAAAAGTTATTCAGTTTGGAACAGTTAGATCTGAATGTAACTGGCAACGAGACAGACAAACCGTCAGTGTTTTTTAGGAAGTTGACTTCCTCTGAGAGAGGCTAGTGTCTTGTAAGAGAGAAAAAAGAAGAGGAGAGCAGGACAGTACTTTGAGGGACTCCAGCTTCAGTAAGCAATCCAGCCTTTATATTCAATATACTTCGTTCTGTCAGAGAAATAAGAATTATTATTATTATTCCCTTGCGTTCCGAGTGGAACTGGCTGGCTTCAACAACGCATCTCCACTTTGTTCTGTTTTCTGCCGTCCTCTTCAGCTGGGTCCACGATAGACCAAACTCTCTCATCTCTTCTCTCGATCTGCTCCATGTCACTCTAGGACAACCCACTCGTCTCTTTTCATTTGGATTTCACTCAAGCAATGGCCTGTATTGCGCGCGATGTCATTCGGCGGCCTCTTCAATGAATGCCCAATCCATCTCCACTTTCTCCTACATATC